ATATTTAGTTAATTATATTTTTCTCCACTTATGAGGATAACAATGTTGAGTATTTTATTATTAAGGCACCGCACAGCTGATTGAAGGCTTCTGAGTGGTAAACTCTAAACACAGAGTGGCAGTCCTGAATAATGCTCCGCTCTCAGTTTACTGTGAAATGATTCATTACTGCTGCTAAATGTCATCTCATTACCATTATGAGTCATTCAGAAAGACTTTTACATTGAAAAGCACTAAAGCCAGCACTGCCATGGAAAATCCCAATATAGCATGATATTAGAGTATAACAGGGGTGGCACGGTGGCTCAGTGGTTGGCACTGTGGCCAGGGCCGGAGCAAGCTGAACTGCCGCTCTAGGCAAAGCACGGTCGTGAACCGTAAAGTGAAAGCACGGGGTATTATACCTGGGTGGTGAGGGTAGCGTCGGGGGCGCCGCCCTCTCTATTCGGCCACCCTACGCGGATATAGGGCGCGAGTGGTGAGGGTAGTGTCGGGGACGCGGCCCTCTCTATTCAGCCGCCCTACGCGGATATAGGGCGCGGGTGGTGAGGGTAGTGTCGGGGACGCCGCCCTCTCTATTCAGCCGCCCTACGCGGATATAGGGCGCGGGTGGTGAGGGTAGTGTCGGGGACGCCGCCCTCTCTATTCAGCCGCCCTACGCGGATATAGGGCGCGGGTGGTGAGGGTAGTGTCGGGGGCGCCGCCCTCTCTATTCGGCTGCCCTTCGCTGATATAGGGCGCAGGTGGGTAGGGTAGTGTCGGGGACGCCGCCCTCTCTATTCGGCCTGCTCCAAGCGAATATAGGGCGCGGGTGGTGAGGGTAGTGTCGGGGACGCCGCCCTCTCTATTCGGCCGCCCTACGTGGATATAGGGCGCGAGTAGTGAGGGTAGTTTCAGGGACGTCGCCCTCTCTATTCGGCCTGCTCTAAGCGGATATAGGGCGCGGGTGGTGAGGGTAGTGTCGGGGACGCCGCCCTCTCTATTCGGCCTGCTCTAAGCGGATATAGGGCGCGGGTGGTGAGGGTAGTGTCGGGGACGCCGCCCTCTCTATTCGGCCTGTTCTAAGCGGATATAGGGTGCGGGTGGTGAGGGTAGTGTCGGGGACGCCGCCCTCTCTATTCGGCCTGTTCTAAGCGGATATAGGGCGCAGGTGGTGAGGGTAGTGTCGGGGACGCCGCCCTCTCTATTCGGCCTGTTCTAAGCGGATATAGGGCGCGGGTGGTGAGGGTAGTGTCGGGGACGCCGCCCTCTCTATTCGGCCTGCTCTAAGCGGATATAGGGCGCGGGTGGTGAGGGTAGTGTCGGGGACGCCGCCCTCTCTATTCGGCCTGCTCTAAGCGGATATAGGGTGCGGGTGGTGAGGGTAGTGTCGGGGACGCCGCCCTCTCTATTCGGCCTGTTCTAAGCGGATATAGGGCGCAGGTGGTGAGGGTAGTGTCGGGGACGCCGCCCTCTCTATTCGGCCTGTTCTAAGCGGATATAGGGCGCGGGTGGTGAGGGTAGTGTCGGGGACGCCGCCCTCTCTATTCGGCCTGTTCTAAGCGGATATAGGGCGCGGGTGGTGAGGGTAGTGTCGGGGACGCCGCCCTCTCTATTCGGCCTGCTCCAAGCGGATATAGGGCGCGGGTGGTGAGGGTAGTGTCGGGGACGCCGCCCTCTCTATTCGGCCTGCTCCAAGCGGATATAGGGCGCGGGTGGTGAGGGTAGTGTCGGGGACGCCGCCCTCTCTATTCTGCCATCCTAGGCGGCCGCCTAGGTCGCCTCTATGGACGCTCCGGCCCTGACTGTGGCCTTACAGCAAGAAGGTTGCTGGTTTGAGTCTCGGCTGGGTCAGTTGGTGTTTCTGTGTGGAGTTTGCATGTTCTCCCCGTGTTGGTGTGGGTCTCCTCCGGGTGCTCCGGTTTCACCCACAGTCCAAACACATGCGCTATAGGGGAACTGATCAACTGGCTGCAGTGTGTGTGAGTGTATGAGTGTGTGTTTCACAGTACTGGGTTACACTTGGAAGGGCACTGTGTTTTTATTCCCATTCAAAAAAAATAAAAAACTCCCCGTCAGGTCAGCACGCATCTGCGTCTCATCACAAGGTGTCCTGAAAGCACTGTGTTTTTCTGTCTGCCTCCAGAAACCCGTTTGTCTTTTTATCTCACAGCGATTCACTGCAAAATCAATCAATGGAGCCACAGGAGGAGCTCTGCTGACACTCCAGACACACTGACGGCGAGAAAACATTCACACACCATGACAAATGCAGGATTTTACTGAAAAAACAGCAGCTGACACGGGGAAAACAGTGTTTTTATTACGCGTCATCAGTCAGCCATATTGGAGAGCAGAATGTAAACAATAACTCTGAGCGAAACATGCATATATTGCTGATTATTAGCGGTGAAGATGATCAGTTATTAGCTGTGTTTCCGTCTGAAGATGTGCATTATATTTATGTGCAAGCTGGAATTTTGCATTAAGCATTTGTGAATAAAGCAACGCTTACATCCAACGAGAAACTAAAGAGAAGTAAATCATTCCCAAAACTTAATAATCACAGAAATGTAGTTTGAAAATTCCCTGTGGTGTGTTTTTCTCCTCTAATAAATGAGTTGCACCTCAGAAGCAAAGATGAAGCGCAGTGAATGCGCTGGCTTTAAGAGGCTGCTCAAGACAGTTGTGGAGGCAATAATAATAGAAGAATAACACTGAAGCACTGTGATGATGGACTGACGGAGGGCTGAGGCCCTTTACAATCAGCACAGCAACATTTCAGATAATTTACAATGAAAGTCCCTCAAACACACATTTATATATGATCATCATCTGTCAAAAACGAAAGCAAATCATGCACACAAATCTTTCCCAGAGATGGGTTGCGGCATCTGCTGCGTAAAAACTTGCTGGATAAGTTGGCGGTTCATTCCACTGTGGCGACCCCAGATTAATAAAGGGACAAAGCCGACAAGAAAATGAATGAATGAATGAATGAATGATTTTACAAAGCAAACTTACGTTGGATTATTTAAAACAAAATACATATCGAATAAACAAAACAGTTTTGTCATCATTTATTGAATTATTGCCAATACTGTGAGACCCCACAAGCACTAAAGACTGCATTTAGCTGCAAAAATATCAATTAAATTTCAACATTAGCATCTGCTTTTTGTTTTTAAATGCAATGTTAGACACTTTATTGTATTTTTGCGGTAACTTGCTGGCAGCACTGTTTACCACAAGTGCCCTTTTACAGTGATTTACCTGTAAACGCAAGTTCATTTGAAGGTAAATCAGCCCTACTGCAACTTCTTTCTATGGTAAAATGCCTTTGCCACATTTTAATTGTAGAGTATGACCATTTTTACAGTAGTTTTACAGTTATACTTTACATTTTACTCAAGCAAAATCTTTATTTTTTTAGTTTTTCCTACTGAATTTAATGAATTCCAAACAAGTGACGCATTTTTTTATTACCCGTCTCATTTTTGTCTTCATCCACAGTAACTGTACTTGATTAATTACAGTAGAATACTGCAGCAAGTTACTGTAAAAGTTTGAAAATGACCCTGTTCATGAATGTATCTGGTATTTTACTGGGTGTGTTTGCAGTAAATAACTACAGTGTGTTATAAAGAGTTGAAGTCTAAATTATTCCCCTTCTATGAATTTAGTTTTCTTTTTCAAATATTTCCCTAAGGATGTTAAACAGAGCAATACGATGTTCACAGTATTTTCTCTAATATTTGTTCTTCTGGAGAAAGTCTTATTTGTTTTATTTCAGCTAGAATAAAAGCAGTTCCCAATTGTTTTAAGGTCAATATCATTAGCCCCCTTAAGCAATATTAGTGTTGGATTGTCTCCAGAATAAACCACTTTATACAATGACCTAATTACCCTAACCTTACCCTAATTACCCTAGTGAAGCCTTTAAATGTCACTTTAAGCTGAACACTAGTGTCTTGAAGAATATCTAGTCTAATATTATTTACTGTCATCATGGCAAAGATAAAATAAATCAGATATTAGAAATGAGTCATTAACACTATTATGTTTAGAAATGTGCTGAAAAACTCTGCTCTCTGTTAAACAAATTGTGGAAAAAATATACAGGAGCTAAAACTTCGACTGTACCTGTGTACCGCTCTCTACTTTTCATCCCTTAAGGCAAATCTATCTAGTATGAAACTAGCCTGTGTTTGTTTACCCAAATCCTCCCGCAGTATATTTGGTGTGTATGGTAATCTCCTCTTTCCCCGGCTGACACCCTCTCCTACTCAAGTGTGAAATGTTATTAATCTCTTGCAGATTCCTTCCCACTAGACTAAGAGGATAATGTAACAAACGCAGTTAAAAAGCCCTCTGAAAGCGTCTCAGAAAAGCCTGTGGCATGTTATTAAGTTTGGCAAGAGGGCTGTTTGATTAACTTTGGATTATTTGAAGGTGTGAGCCATGCCTTCTATTAGCTAAACCCACACTGCAACAGAAAAATTAGGTTCTTAGTATTTTAGTGATTCAAAAATGACTACATACAGTGTTTGCATGAGAAAGCAAGATATAATAAAGGGATAGTTCACCCAAAATTGATAAGTAGAGGGGAAAGCGGGGATGAAAGTAACAAATCGATTGTTGTAAAGCCCTGTCAACATTTCTTTCCAGGCCATAACAGCACAATCTGCATTCACCCTTGATAGAGCTGCCAAATATCAGCTGATTTCGGGACTGTGTCCTGTGGTTAGCTCTGAATTTCAGTTTTTAAGTGCAGAAATTATTGCAGTGGTTCTTTTTTCCTTGATGTAAGCTGTCTTTCTCTTTTCATGCATCACACTTAGGGGCGAAGCAATGGCGCAGTAGTGCTGTCGCCTCACAGCAAGAAGGTCGCTGGGTCGCTGGTTCGAGCCTCGGCTCAGTTGGCGTTTCTGTGTGGAGTTTGCATGTTCTCCCTGCGTTCTCGTGGCTTTCCTCTGGGTGCTCCGGTTTCCCCCACAGTCCAAACACATGCGGTACAGGTGAATTGGGTAGGCTAAATTGTCCGTAGTGTATGTGTGTGTGTGTGGATGTTTCCCAGAGATGGGTTGCGGCTGGAAGGGCATCCGCTGCGTAAAAACTTGCTGGATAAGTTGGCGGTTCACTCCCCTGATTAATAAAGGGAATGAATGACTGAATGCATCACACTTATGATTAATCTCCAGGTTATGTAGTGCAATAACACATCCTTGAGTTTGCACACTGGTTTAAATGGCAAGAGTTCCTGTGGGGACACTGTTATTCATGCCCCACTGATAATATTCAGACCCTATTTTTCACTTCCATATTAGAGTTTGCAGTTTTTAGATTCAGATGTTTTAAAAAATGAATGCGTATTGCCAATAATAATAACACCTATGAATAAACTGTGGAAAATGTTTACTTATTGCATTGGGAATGCAGTATTAGGAAACACCCATACACACTCATTGTCACACACTCATACACTTCGACCATTTTAGTTCATCAATTCCCCTACAGTGCATGTGTTTGGGGAAACAGGAGCACCCAGAGAAATCCCATGCCAACACGGGGAGAACATGCAAACTCCACACAGATATGGAAAATGACCCAGCCAGGACTCAAACTTGTGACTTTCTTGCTGTAAGGCCACAGTGCTAACCACTGAGCCACCGTGCCACCCTCATGTTTAATGTTTGTTTGTTTTTAAAATAAAGGGCAAAATGTGTTTGCAGTGAAGATTAACAAGTTCATAGTCAGATATATTTAAAATAAACAAGATTAAACCTGTAAATCTAACAAATATTGCTGACGGGGTCAAGAGTAATGAGTAACTTTTGTTTAAAGTGAAATTATATTAAAGTTGTTCTACATTGATACCAATATCCACCTGATATCGACAGACCACACTCATGAATATATATTTTTATGAAAAATGGTTCTTTCGTCTCTGATCTGCTACAATATTTGATGTATGCACTGCAAAAAAATCCTTTTCTTCATTTTTTTGTTCTTGTTTTGAGTCCAAATATCTTGAAATTCTAGAAAATCAAGTATTTTGTACACAAGCAAACAATATTTCAGAAATAAAGGGCTCTATTTTAATGATCTAAGCCTAAAGTCTGAAGTAGAGATCTGCGCAGGACTAAATTTTGAATCCTGCTCCCGCCAGGTTTTAGCCCGAACCCGACCGCTCCCGCTTATATTCAGCATTTGTTGTCCCGCTGGCCGACCCGCCCCAGGGGAGAACAAAACTGAAAACCACCCAGCTATACAGAGTCCAGACAGCCTATAACAAGCTGTCTGTTAGGGCTGCTCGATTATGGGAAAAATCATAATCACGATTATTTTGGTCATAATTGTTATCACGATTATTCAAAACGATTATCAGTTGAAGTTAAAATTATTCGTCCTCCTGTGAATTTATTTTTATATTATAAATATTTCCCAAATTATGTTTAACAGAGGTTTTTTTTTTTTAAGTATTTCCTATAATTTTTTTTCTTCTGGAGAAAGGCTTATTTGTTTTGTTTCAGCTAGAATAAAAGCAGGTTTGAATATTTTGAAACCTATTTTAATAGCTCGATATTATTAGCCCCTTTAAGCAATATATATATTAGATTGTCTGCAGAAGAAACTACTGTTATACAATCACTTGACTATTAACCCTAATTAAGCCTTTGAATGTCACTTTAAGCTGAATACTAGTATCTTGAAAAATATCTAGGCTAGTAAAATATAATGTACTGTCATCATAGCAAAGATAAAAGAAATCAGTTATTAGAGATGAGTTATTAAATCTGTTATGTTTAAACTGTGCTTTAAGCATCTTCACTGTATTTTTGATTTTATTATTGATTAATAATAAAAACATTCATCAGCAGCAGGAATACCGCACACTTTCGCGAACGCTCACGCTCAATCTGCCCAGTTGGTGGAATGAACTCCCTAACTGCATCAGAACAGCAGAGTCACTCGCTATTTTCAAGAAACGACTAAAAACTCAACTATTTAGTCTCCACTTCACTTCCTAATCTGCAATTGCCTCTTTGAATATCACACTAACTGTACAAAAAAAAAAAAAAAAAAAAAAAAAAACTACTAACACTTCCCTTCTTAGACTTTACAGACCTGAAACTTGCCTTTAGTACTTATTCATTGTTGCTCTTAGTTGTGTAAATTGCTTCCTTGTCCTCATTTGTAAGTCGCTTTGGATAAAAGCGTCTGCTAAATGACTAAATGTAAATGTAAAATGTAAATGTAAATGTAAACGCACACTGTCACTTTAAGAATCGTGCGGCTCTGATATGGTTTCTCTTTCTCGTGTCTTTTGATTCTCAAATTATTCAAAATTTAAATCAAATTAATTATTCAAATTAAATCAAAATTATTACACAAATGGGGATTAATATGAATAATCACTAAACACCGCGCTCTGACACAAATGTGCATGTATTGACCATTAAAGCGCTCACATTAAGATCGTGTTACATACACACACGTGCTCTTTTGCGCTTTTAAAAA